CGGGACGCACGAGGTCGGCGACCTGCGGCCACCACTCTGTGAATAGCACCCGCGTTACTGCATCTGGGAATTCTTCATGCGGTGTGGCCCTGCGTACCTCTTGTCCCGGTTGCTGCAAACCACCATTCGCAGAATAGAAAGCCAAATGATTTGACTGGGCTTGTGTGCGTGTGCTCCAACAGCAATGATTAGTGGTGCGGCCGTCTTGCTGGTGGTGGTGGTCTCTTTGGGGGTGGTGGTGCCGGCTGTACATGCTGGCTGCTCCGGCCTACCTTGCGCTGAACTCTTCAGGCCATGCCGGAGTCGAGTCCGAAGTCAACCGCATCCCCGTACCCTTCCTCTCCCCCCTTCCCTCCACTTTCCACCCCGTCTGAGGGTATCCCACTGACAGGTCCAACCTTGACGCGACGCTTCTCGGACTGTGACATGATCCTCACCTAAGCAACTCAATGTGCGCGACGTGGGCGACTAGTCGCCGCCTCGCCGCTCCGCACGTTCTACAGCTAAACCCTTCCCTGGAAACATTGCGAGCGCCTCAGGCTTAGGCCCTGTGCCATGCCATCCCGCGCCCGGTGGTGATGCCCGTGTAGTTGGTGCTGGTCGGTGCTCATGCTGTTACCCATCGCTAGGTGGTGTTTCCGATGGGGCTCTGGGTGGGAGAGTCTGGCGCCTCAGTTTTGTTCCTTCAACCGCCGCCAAGCCGAGCTTCCCACGTCCATCTTTTCTTTCATCAGCCCGTCGTCGATCGCCAGTCGTCCCCCAATCCCCCAGGGCCCCAGTCTCCATCGTCCCCTTCTTCTTCGTCGGCAATTTCAACCCCCATAGCGTGTCTGTAACGGGACATGCGTGTTCCAGACAGATTCATCGTTCGGATCCAGTTGCTGGTGCCCATGTGGGGGGCCATGGGAAACTTAGATGGTTCTGGGACTTCACTACATCCGTAGCCCGTCGTCACCTTCAAGTTGCTTGCTCGAATTTACCGCTCGAACGAGAAACAACGACGGGCGTCGACTGTCCTTGGACCGCTGGACAGAGATAGAACATGCGGGCGTGTGACTGTCGCAGGTCGCGCGGGAACAAGGCCAAGGACACACGCGACTTATTCCACGCTTTGGGACGGCATGTTCCATCACTCATCCCATACTAGGTGACGATCAATCCATGATACACACCCATTCCTGCTTTTTGTCGGCTGGAAAATTGTGTGAGACCTTTCCTTCGACAATCGCGCCGTCCAGTTTCGTGCTGCCTTCCTGGGGCCCAGATTTGCCCCGCGAAACAGGCTGTGCATGCATGCAAGTCTTGATGCCAATCTCGGTCTCGCCTGTTTGTGTCCTTGACGAGCCACGATGACTGTCGGCTCGAGCCTAGGGCAGCCAGGGCCCTGAGCGGCGCATGCAGGATTCCACTCAACCTGCCGCCGCAGCGGCCGCTGGTGGGATGGACATCTGGATCTGGGGGACGGGTTTCATTATGGACTGACCCGTGGGAAATAAGGTAGGTCGGCTCCGTGAATTAGCAACGCTCTGTTAAGACACACGAGAGAAAAACTGCCCGATCCGGCCTGGCAATCGAGATCTCCCGAACTCTGCGGCGCGTGTCTGGCTCGCTACCACCAATTATTGTCGTCCAAGATGATCAGATAATGGAACAAGCGGTAGAGAGTCTCGACCCTGCGGTCCAGTCGCTACCGAGTCGGCCAATGGCTCCAAGACACGGTCCAGCCATTCTAGACAGGGCACCACACCGTAGTGTACAGTACCTACTCCGTCCTTCCAAGGGCACAAGATGAAATGCTGAGAAGTTGATTGATGGAACAAGGACCTCGACCAAGACCAGGAGTCCCGGCATCTGGGGCGCGTTTCGGCGTTATCTCTTCCAGAAGCCAGCAGACAGCATTCCCAGTGGAGCGGCTTGCGGACTTTCAGGGACGCTTGCCGTTGACGATGAGGCATCCATATCCCTGCCCTGCACGAGGTAAGGCCTTGAAACCGGCCAGCACGACATCAGGTCGTAATAAAGTAGGTACAAAGTACCCACGACGGTCCCCTCAGATTCAGTGTTACGGCCCCATTGGGCCCCCATCTGGCAGCGGAAAACTCGCTCGTCGGCTCCGAGCATTTCTCCTTGAGGGGGTTTCCGACCACCTAGTGTACTCTGTAGCTGCTGGAGGTGCTGCTGGGAAGAGACTCGGAAGCTAAGTCTGGAGTGCGCCCCCGAGACTCGGGACGAAATTCAAACAGTGAGCCTTGGGAGCCTGGACGTGCCTGTCTTCGGTTCCGGCATCGCGTTCGTATTGTATGTAAAGAAGTACGTTCGGGTTACCTGGAAAAGCAACGTGCGGGTCTTGGTAATTCCATATTGCTGCCTGGGGCCAATGAGCATTTTTGAGAGTGAGCGCATTGCGTCTCTGGGTCGACTGCAAGTAGCGGGAATCCTCCGCTACTCGGCCGACACGGTTTTTTCAGTTAATGAATGGTGGTGGTGGGAAATGCGGCTGCTGTACAACAACAAGTGGGTGGCGTCAAACTTGGTGCGACGGAACAACGCGGACTGAACGACAACTGGGCTGCTCGATTGATTGCAGAGGCTATTGTCAATGTTAGTGGCGTGCGGCAGCAGACCTTCGAGGGCGCGGCGCGGCGTCAGTAAGTTCAGTCGACGTCAAAGAACGACGAGCCATCCCCCTTTCCGTGTGTTTCCCGCGAGGAGTTCATGTTGATGCAAGAAGAAGCATATGTTGGCAATGATGAACCTTAATCAACTTGATCAGACTGGCGAACAGATCGCGTGCGCAAGCGGTAAGACGCTGGAACGCGGCTTTTGAGGTTGGGGCGATCCTTCGAGCCCAGGACAGGGCAGCAGTTCGTCGGTGGAAATGGGCGGCCTTGCATGACAGTAGGGTTTGCATCCGCGTCGTCGAGGCTTTTTGAGGCGAAGCTTGATGGCATCACGATGGTTGTCAGTTTCGGCTCAGACTTGCCGAGATTTGGGGAGTCCTTGCTTGCGTCGGTGGAAGGTGAGTGGACGGCGTCTGCTTTGGTCGTCACGGTCTTGGGATTGACGACTTGGATGGCGAAGTAATACATCGGATGACGGACGACTTGCCAGCTGGACCGCATACCTCAAAGGCTTTTGCCTCCGGGGTGGGAGCATTTTAGGGACGGAAAGCAAATCTCTGATTCAAAAAGCGGTTCTCGAGGGTGATGCTGGATGGTGATGTTTGAGTATGGGTATCGTCGAAAGTGATTGCCATGAAGGCAAACGATCAACCCTCCCTCCCTCCCTCCATCGGGGCTTTCCCAAGGCTTCATGGGTGGCTCTATTGATGATACCTTGTGTGGGTGTGGGAAGCATCTTGATTCTGGATCGGGTGAATGGACTGTTGGGCCTTTGTCTTTCCAACGCCCGTTGTTTCTGCAGGTGTCAGTTCACCATGTCTCGCCATCATTCCATGGCGGGTTCAGGAAGTGAGCCGCGGCCTGACGAACGAGCCGGGTGCCTGACGCGGTCCCTTGCAGGAAGGATGGAGGCGGTCTCTCCCAATAGAGGCTGGAGGTGTCCGAGATGCACAGGTGTGTGTAAGTCCGTGGCTCAGGCGGGTAGCATCTTCAGAGTGGTTCGCCTTCTCCACTATTCCTCGTGAAAGCATGACATGCAAGAGTACAAGCGGCAAACCCCGGGCCGGGGAGTGTTCTGGTAATGTTCGTTCTTCGCTCCATTGGCGAGAAACATGGTGTCAAGGCAGATGGGAGCCGGTGTCTTGCTCTTGTTCGTGTCTTGATGCGAAAGTGTAAGTACTTGCTTGCCAGTGCCGCCGCCGACTGATGATTGACAAATGACACTGGATGATGATTAGTGTTGCGGCCGCGTCAAATCGTCCAATGGAAGCAACCTTGTCCGGGGACAGAGCCGGGGCATGTGCTGTCGTGTTGCACAATACCTAAATGCAGCATCACTTGCAGTCTGCAGACGGGTCGAGCGAGGGGGGAGAGAGATGAGGTCGAGTGTCCAGGCGGGATGGATGTGAAGCGAGGGACGAGGGTTGAGACAAGAAGGATGATCTGGCGTAGGAAGCAACGATTGGCTTTCCCTTCCAGGTAAGGCAGGAACGGATAGGTAAAGTGAGATAGAGTTGGGTGGAAGGAAGACGCGACCCGCGGAGTAGCGCTTGCCTGCCATTCACTTCACCTCAGGCCACTACCACCTCGTACTGCCTTGGAAGGCAGCTGCTATTACTACCTTACTGTGTACAGAAGGTACATACCCGCCCTGCCCTGCGTTCCTTCCTTCCTGCCTGCCACCATGGAGCCAGGCAGGAACGAGGTTAGCGCTACGGGAGCCCCGAAGGAACTCAGCAAGGAAGGCACGAAGGTCGGTTAGGTTGCCTTGGCTAGCGCGTATTCGCCGGGAATAACGGCCCCCAAAAACGTTTTGTTTCATTGGCAGGGAAGCCGAGCGAGACATGGCCGAGACAAGCAAGTACCATTCCACAGAAATATGCCGAAGTGATACAACGCATTGCTTATATCTTTGGCGAGGTATCTTCAGTGTTCACTACCTGGGGCCTAGAGAGCCTAGATTTAGATTTAGAGGTGTGGCTGGCCAGAGACTGGAACCTGATTGAATTGGCTCTTGCCGCGCCCTTTCGCCCATCATTAGCGAAGCTTCGCCGAGGCGCCGAATGCTAATTCGGAACCCAAATGGCAACTGAGCGCGTTACCTGCGCGCTTCTGCGTTTGTGGGCAACTGCATTGGACTTGGATAGGTTACTTTTATTTTTTTTACTCTGGAATATTCTTCTTCGATGTCTTCTCCAAATTCCAACAGTTGCTCCCTGACAGGCCCGAGTATGAATGCGACACAGCACTAGTGAACTGTTTTTGTCTCGTCGTTGAATTATTACCCCGGTCGGAATAGCTCCCAGAACGAGCGAATCGCAGGCGGCCGGTTCCTTTCGCGTAGATTTCCAGAGAACCACTCTCTGCAACGCTGATGCCATGTCGGATGCTGATGTCTTTGACCTGTGGTTCGACAACTCGGTGCAGCAGGGTGAGCAGGCCTCTTGCCAGCTTTGCGTCTGAATACCTTTTTGCTTGTTGTCTTGTCTGTTGGAAAACCCCTCTAAAGCTGTTTTCGTCTTTTGCCGTAATCCAGGGTCCTTCAAGCCGGACGATCTCCTGTCGCAACCGCAGTCGCAGTCCCAGTCGCATCCGCCGCCGCAGCCTGCCCAGCAACAACAGCAGCAGCAACAGCAACGGCCCCAGTTCCAGCCTCCCCCGCCTCCTCCTCCGCGACGAAATCAGCAGCAGCAACAACAGAAGCAGCAGCAGTCCAAGATCCAGCGTCCGCCGCTGCCGCAGCCGCAGCCTGACCTCCGACGTCAACCTCCTCCCACTCCTCCTCCCTTCGCCGCCGACATGTCGGTCGCCAACACCGCCAACGGCAAGCCGCAGCAGCAGCAGCGCCCCTCGAGAAGCCCTGCCCCGCCCCGCGACGAGGAGGCCGTCTCCAAGATCCCGAATCTCCTCCCCCACGAGCGCGTCTTTCCTATCCAGATAGGATCCGAGCTGTTCAAGCTGTCCGGCGCCTCCATTTCGTCTGATGGTGCGTCCACGATCCCTGTCTTCCCTGCCAACGCGAACCCGATCCTCGACATCCGCCGGCAGGACCGGCCTCGTGCCGCGACCACCCACGATACCACCGTATATATTAACTTGCCTGACGTGTGCTGATCTTTTCTTCCAGCTCCCTCCTACTTCTCCCAGTACTTCTACTGCCAGGTCAAGAAGGCGAAAGAGACCGGCGAGGACCTCTCGAGTGCCATCCGCACCCTGTATATCGACCGCGACCCAAAGACCTTCGCCGACATCTCCCTCCACCTCCAAGGCTACCATGTCAAGCCGCGAGACGGCACGCACTTTGTGCGCCTCTTCGCCGACGCTCAATTCTACAGCTGTACAGTCTGCCCGTCCGAGAATGGCCTTGCCGGCGCATTGCTAACATGCATCACCTCCAGTACCGAAGCTGATATCACAACTGTACGAGGAGTCAATCTTCATCTCCATCGGCCACCGCGAGTTCCAGATCCCCCGCGACATCTTCACCGACCCGGGCAACTCCCCCAACTTCTTCTCCCTCGGCTTCGCCGTCTTCTTCTCGAACCCAGAGGACCTCTTCCCGGGCCTCGACCGCGAAGGTCTCCTCCGCCCTCCCTCCATACTGCCCCCCTCCGTCGCGAACCGCTCCGCCGACACCTTCGCCGAGATCCTCCACCTCCTCCGCGGCTACCCCGTCACCATTCGTAACGAGACCCACCGCGCCGAGCTCCTGCGCGACTGCAGATACTTCAACTTCAAGGGCCTCGAGCAGAAGCTCATCCCCCACCACATCAGTTACAACCAGTCCCGCCGCCGCGAAGAAATCGTCCTGCGCCTCGAGGACATCCTCAAGAGCGGCATCAGCGTAGCCGCCGACGCCTCCTCAGCCATATCCTCGCCCTCGGGTGACCACTTCGCGGGCTGGGTCAACTACGCCCGCCCCTACGTCGACGATCGTGCGGCCGAGCTCGTCCTCGAGATCGGCGGCGAGAGCACCCGCCTGCACTTCCAGCCAAACTCCATCCGCGCGGAGTTCTTCCGGGACACCCGCGCCCGCGTCGCCCGCATGTTCGAGGTCGTCGCGACCAAGCTCAACCTACCCCCGACCACCCAACCCCTGGGCCTGCTCATGGCATCCGGCGGCGCAGGCAGCCAGCCCCCGACTCCGGGACACACGCCTCTCAGTGAAGACCTCGTCCGCGTAATCATCGACCCGGACACCTCCATCACCCTCGACGGCAAACCGCACACCTTTGACACCCCCGCTCCCGCAGACGACCAGGCCTCGTCAACCTCGAGCACCGGTCAAGGCGGCGGACACGAGTCTCCCTTGGCGTCCACCGCTGCCGCCTTCCTCCCGAACTCGCGGAAGCGCCGACGCATCGACTCGTCTGGCTACGCCGCCGGCGGCAGCCACGCCGCTCTGGCGGCCGAGGAATGGGTCGTCAGGACGGGCCAGTGGCGGCTCAAGATCCAAGGCACGCGCAACGGCAAGAGCGGCGTAGAGTGCGTGCTCGTGGCCGTCAAGCTCGACGCCTACAGCTCCGAGAGCGCGCGCAATTCGGCCAGGGCGTTCCTGAATGGGTGATTGGTTTGCTGAAGAGTTGCGTCTAAAACCTTTACATATATCAGTGTGACTGGTCGACAGGTTGTCTTAGATCTAGGAGGATGACAAGTCACTTATGCTGAACGACGTTACGATATAATATGTTTTACATATACCACGGAAGGGGTCGGGACTGTACAGGGAAGACATCCACGACAAAAGAATGGCTTTTTTGGCACTTAGAGTGCTGAGCTCTTGTTTAAATCGGGTAATTTAGCGGCTGTACACACACAACATATATGAACTCTCGACAACGCCCACTGTTTTCGTAGCCTCGATTCTTAGAGACCAACAATCTAAAGCTCACGATGCCGAGCGGCGTCTACGCTGTTGCTTCTGAGAAAAAAGAAAAAAAACCAACACAGCTCTGCCTTGGTTGGAGGGGGAATCCAGCAGCAAGCGCTCAAGCAACCTAGTCTTTCCGCACTGCCGAGGAGGTGTATTCACAATACAAGGTCATGTTCACGACCAGCCAGCCGGTTGTGCTTTCATTAAGGACAACATATCAAACCCTCACGAGGGGATACACGCAAAGCAAAATCTACACTTACACCTTTTCGTATGTTCAACACAGCACAAGCAAGCACGCAAACGACGAGTAAGTTTAAACAGTATAAAAAGCAAAGTTGAATTACCGCGTCGAGACGAGAAATATACTATCCACCCCTTCCTGCTCACCAAACGGGGCAAAAAGACAAACAACACTTTTAATCGTACAAAACCAACAGAAACCCGAATGATACGTATACTAAAAAGGGGTAAGGGAATAGACAAGAATCCTCAACTCCTCATGATTAGCCCTTCCTTTGCCTTTCCGAGAAAAAACGCCGTGACAATGCAAATGAAGACCGTTGTGAGGGGTTGAAGCAGGCAAAAAAAAAAAAAGCGGGAAATAAGTATCCAGAAACCAGGTATTCGCACGCAAAAAAGAACGCCCCATGCCGTGAAAAACAAGACAGGAATCCTTTCCCACTGTTTTGGTATCTTTTCCATTGGGTCCGCCCCGTTCCCACCGGAAAAACGCCGTCATGTCATGCGTGTTATGTGTGCGTGTGTGTGTCTGTCATTTGTGTGATGTGTGCGTGTGATTTTTTTCATGTACCGGCAGACCAGCCCAGCGAGTCCCGTGTAATCCTCCAAATCCGGTTCTTCATCTCGGCCGCCCTCCGGAAGGGACTGGGCCGCTGGTCGTCGACCCCGTTGTGCGAAGTATCAGCAGGAGCGACGTCGATCGGCGCCGGCGTCGTCGTACTGCTACCATCAAGACCCCGTCGCGAGTTGCTCCTGCTGCCACCACCGCGCGGGTCCGTGAAAGGCGCCGAGGGACTCTATGCCTTGGCCTTGGGGACCGCCTGGCCGGCGGGGGCGCTAACGTCTCGCCGCTCCCCGGCGCCCTCGATCATCTTCTTGCGCGGCGTGGCGGTGCCCTGCGCGATAGACTTTGCGCGGCCGCGGCGCTCGCGGATGCGGGCGAGGGCCTCCTCGCGGGTCATGGTGGGCGTCATGGCCGGGTTGTTGACGTCGAAGGACATGTGCGACTCGCTGGAGGGTGTGCGGGCACGCTCGTAGCGCGGCACGGGGCGAGGCTTGTCGTCGCGGAGTGGCACGCTGGTGGTTGTGGTCTTGGTGTAGAAGGCGGCGGCGGTGTGTGGGCGGACGGTGTTGTCGGGCGTCGGGGACGGGCTGCGCGACGCGCGGGATTCGGGGCGCGCCGGGGTGTCGGGCATGGTGGGGATGGACGGGAGAGGAGCCGTGTGGACCTCGCCGTCGGCGCCGCCGTGGGGGGCGTTCAGGAGAGAGGCTAGAGACATGCGCTCTTGCGCGAGGACCGCGAAGGCGGGGGGGTCGAGAGAGGGCGTGCGAGAGAATCTTAAAGGGGCGTCAACAGGTGTGGGCGGCTCGTTGGGGGAAGCCTCACTGTCTTCGTGCTGCGGCTCCTCCTTCTCCCTGCGAGCCTCGACCTCTTCTGCTTCTTCCTGAGAAACAGTGCGGAAAATGCCCTCGCGGGGGCAGAAGATGGTGCTTCTCCTCTCTTCTCTTGATCTCTTCAAACTCTCGGGCTTCTTCGCCACGTCATCCGAGGCGGGGGATGACAGCTGAGAGGATTTCAGAGATGGCTTGCGGTCCGACATCGACTCTCTTGAATCGCGGAGGATAACCAGGTCGCTGGCGTCAGCGATCTCAGCAGGGGCCATCAGCCTCCTGCGCGGCGACAGAATGCTCGGTCTGTTGGAGGCCAGACTCTGCCTGGGGGATGCCATGCTGTGCCTCTTGCGTGCCTTGGCATAAGAGCAGCAGCGGTTCTCACACTCAGCCTGCATGAAATCAACCATCTCGTACGCGCGGTCAGCGCGCTGGCGTTCCCAGGAAAGCTCTAGGCTCAGCTGTTCAATCTCCTCCTCGGTGGCGGCGGATGACACAATGTCGACCGTCGAGAGCGAGAAGCGGGGCCTCTTCTTGGGCGACGAGAACTCGTCTTGTGCGGTGTCGTTCTTGGGCAGCGGGATGCGGCCCTCCGCGGCGATGCGGGCTACCTCCTCCTCCTTGGCAAGCGTCTTGAAGGCATCACGCTCCTGCTCGAGCAGCTTAATTTTCTCGAGGGCCTCTGTCAGCTGCTCCTCCATGCTGACCATTTGGTAGCGGGCCTGGAAGGCCTCTTCTTCTCTCGCCTTGGAGCGCAGCTTCTCGGCGTCGATGTTGTCGGAAGCCGCCCTCCACCCTTCGCGGGCGGCCTTGAGCTCTTCCTGCAGTTTGATGATTTGCGACTCGTTCTTAAATGTCTTTTTGCGGGCCAGCTTGATCTCCTTTTCCCAGGCGGCTTTTGTGTGTGCGTACGTCTCCTTTGCGCGGCCATATTGCTCCTAATCACAAAAGTTAGAAAACAGGGGCGCCCAACCTCAGAATCACCGGGGCGGGGTTTCTTACCATGACGGTCTCTAGCCTCTCGCTGACGCGCTGTTCCCTCTCCTTGCCCTTCTCGAGTTGGACGCGCAGCACCTTGCACTCGTCCTTGTAGCGGCGAGCCTCGCCCTCGGCCTCCTCGCGGCCGAGCATGGCGCGCTTAAGGGCGGCGTCGGCGGTCTTGCGCTCGAGGGTCTTGGTCTGGTTGGCGAGGGAGTTGAACTGGGAAATCTTTTCGTGGACGGAGCTTTCGCGGCCTTCGCTGCCGCGCGGCGAGGGGAAGAGGTTGCGGGCATCGCGCTTCTGGTTTGCGCGGTCTGGTGTGATTGGGTTGAGCGGGAGGCTCGGTGATGGCGACGCCGGGGCGTCGGGGATGTCGGCCATCTTGTGTATTGTAATTTGTGTATGCGTGTATGTGTCGACGGAGTGATGTTGGAAAAGGTGCGTGCTGGGTGTCTACCGACGTAACTCCCCTATAATGCGGGATGATGGCGGTTTGAGTGATTTTGGAAAATTGCTAGGTAAGCCTTTTCTTTTTTTTTTAGTCTGGTCCTGAGGCGGTTTCAGGGCGCGAGGGGCAGAGTGACACAGTCGTCGCAAATGTGCGATGATGACGGTGATGGCGTCGAGCGAGGTAAGCTGGGAGAGGTGCTTAAGGCAAAAGCAGAAAAGTAGCACTCAAGGGATCTTATCGACCCAGGATGGCGGTTGCGGGTGGGAGCAAGGCCGTTGCGGGTGTTTACAGCGGCGCTGCAGGCGGGTTGACTGGGAGACGCGGCGGATTGGAGTGTGAGTGGGTGGCCCCAAGCAGGTTCGACGCCGTAGCGAAATGGGCGAGATGGGCTTCATTCCCGGAAAGGGATTGGGCGTGAAGAACAATGACCTAAGCAGCCCCCACCGTTGGGCCCTTTCCCAGCGTCACTGAGTGCAACCCCTGGTAAAAAATTGCAGTGTCGCGTTGGTGGGCTGCTTAATGTGATGTGGTAAGCTCAATAGACGCAGACTCCACACAGCGATTGCCCCGCTAAGAGGCATGCAGCTAGAGAAATTGAGCTTCGAATCCGCACAAGTGGGAGCACACGAGATGATGCAAGCCGATGCCGATTGGGCATTCCGGTAAATGAAGTCCATTTCTTTTGGGAAATCTCCATCGAGGCCCTGCCTTCCAGTGCAATGTCTCAAAGACTCAAGGTCTGTTGCTTTATGTCGCACAAGAGTACCTTATGCAATTAAGTTGGTCGCGAAATATTGGAGAGGTGAGACCGGGACCTGAGCTTCTCGAAGCTTACCTAAATCGCGGCATCCGGAGGCCGTCGACAGCAACAATAGGGGACTTGGGCACTATATTCGTAACTCCCATCTCCAAGGAGTCCCCCAAAAGCACCAAAGACCCGTCTCTGCGGATGGCTTGGATCCGCCGCGGCCTATCACACGCCGTCTAAAAGTCACTTTTTGGGCCCATGTCCGCCGTCCCCACGCCCACGGTGCAGCATCCTCGCTCGCTCTCGGCATCAACGTCGATATTTGAACAGCTTGCCCCAATCAACCAGTAACAGCAGCCCGGTTTGCAAACCAGCGTAGAGTCCGTCCCTCCGTCCGCGTCCCCAATTCGTGCTTCTTGGCCCCCAATTGCTCCAAATACGCAGTGTCCGTAGCTTCCGTCAGGCCACATCTCTACGTGGTTCAGGGGGTAGCGATTGATGGGTGACGTGACCTATCTTTAGCGCAGGACAGCTCCAAAATATATTTCCGTAAAAGTCGCGAGACACCCACCACCATTAGAAGCTTTCGGAATCCCATCTTTCGCTTCTCCCAACACAACCACGTGTCCCGACGTGCACATAAGCCACATACACACTCTCCACACGCAATGGCCGACGACAAGGTACGGCAGCGCAAGCCGCAGCAAGCGGCCGCCGAGGAGGACGACGACAACCTCTTTGCGGGCACCCCGGCCGAGAACTCGAGGGGCACCGCCGCCGCCGCCGCCCCGTCGAAGAAGAAGAAGAAATCCAAGAAGGCCAACGACGACGGCGCGGAGGAGTACAGCCCGTGGCTCGACATCCTGCGCGTCCTCAGCTTCCTGGCCCTCGCCTCCTGCGCCCTGAGCTACCTCATCAGCAACGGCGAGAGCTTCTTCTGGGGCTTCAAGAACAAGCCGTGGTACCTCAAGGTGGACTACTGGAAGTCCAAGCTCGTGAGTTATCCTCAACGCTTCCTCCTGCATCTCGTCACGCCCTTTGACAAATGGCTAACTGCGATATGTTCCCCCCTCACAGAACGGCCCCATCGAGCTCACCCCCGAGCAGCTCCTCGCCTACAACGGCTCCGACCCCGACAAGCCAATCTACCTCGCCATCAACCACACCATCTTCGACGTCTCCGCGAACCCGCGCATCTACGGGCCCGGCGGCTCCTACAACGTCTTCGCCGGCCACGACGCCTCGCGCGGCTTCGTGACGGGCTGCTTCCTCGAGGACCGCACCCCGGACATGCGCGGCGTCGAGGACATGTTCCTGCCCCTCGACGACCCCGAGGTCGACCGCCACTGGAGCTACGACGAGATGCAGAAGAAGATGGCCGAGGAGCGCGCCGAGGCCCACCGCATGGTCGAGCAGACGCTCAAGCACTGGGTCGACTTCTTCAGCAAGAGCGACAAGTACATCAAGGTCGGCCGCGTCAAGAGGGAGGAGGGCTGGTTGGAGAAGGCCAAGCCGCCGAAGCTGTGCGAGCAGGCGGCCAAGGGGCGGGTTAAGAGGAAGATTCCCGGGCAGGAGGAGCAGAAGTAAGGGGTAGGGACGGTGTAGCTCAGCTTTCTTCCATTGAATATATTTCTGTTTCTGTACATCGCAGTGTGCATTGAGCACCGTTGGACTTGTGCGGAGGTGGCAGGAAATACGTTGCTTGCATGACGACGCTGTTGCTGCTCGTCCTCTCAACTTGAGACCAGAGCATCTGCAGAAATCGCTGAGAATGACCGATCCCGAGAACGAGACTGGCCAGTGCCATCAAACTGAACAACAGCGAGAATCGGCGCATGACGAGCACAAGGAATATCGCCCCCCAGACAGTCATGCATGCTAAAATTGGGCAGACCATAGCTGGCAACATAACCATTGGCACCGTACCTCGCATTAGCCCGGTTGGTGAGAGATTTGATCAGTGCTTTTCTTCAGAAGCTGTTCACTATTCAAAGAGTTTTGTACGGAACGCGAAACGAAAGGTTACCAGAATCAAGAAACTCGATTTAGATGTGCTAGCAGCAAACATGCAGAGGCACGCCGATTTCTCGGCGCGGAACTATATACACAGGAAATAGTCCCCAGTCTAGTTTTGAATTTTCTCTCTCATCCTCCCCGCGGCGTTCAACCAGTTCATTCGCCAGCTGCCGTCCCTGTTGAAGAGCAGTGGTTTCGTGCAAAAAGAAAAGCTTTTTGCCAGGACAAGATGGTAAAAAACAACATGACATAAAAAAGTGAATGGTATTAAGATCATCATCGCAATGGTACACCGTAACCAGACCAACTCCTGGCCCATTCCGTTACACCCACCCCGTCCATAAATATTCCAAGTCTTGTGTCGCTTGTGATGACAAGCTGTGATGCATAGGAATAACAGTCCGCCGATTTTTCACGCCAGCTGAACACCTTACATGAGCATGAAGGTGGCGCCGAGGGCGAGGAGGAGGGTGCCGGGCGCGCTGAGGGAGACGGCGCCGGCGGTGGGAGGGGAGGATGGGGTGGCGGAAGCACCACCGCCGTTGCCGGATCCAGAACCGGAGCCGGAGCCGCTGCCGCCGCCAGTGGTGGGGGAGGCGCTGCCGCCGCCGTTGCCGGAGCCGGAGCCGGAGCCACCGCCAGTCTGGCCGGGGATCAGGGCCTGGGCGACGTTCTTTGCGGCCTTGGCGTAGTTTGCCAGGGAGCGGGTGGCGTTCGCATTGGTGCTGGGCAGGTTGTTAGTATTTTGATCGTATTTTATTTTTGTAGTCTCTCCGTGCGCGGTGGTTCATGCATCTCGGCCACCCCTCCTGTCTCGTCTGAGATGTGAAACGCGAGGTTCACGTCACACTTCACCGACAGACCAGGAGTATCCACGTGCGGCAAAAAGGGTTCTCCCGGACATCGCGAACCGCGGGAAAGAAGAATGCAAAGCCAAAAAAGGTAAACTTACTTCTCGTTAATGACCATAACCATGCCGTTCTGGCAATGCTTGCCCTGGGAGCAGTACAGCCACATGGGGGTGGCGCTCTTGACCTCGACGGTGAAGACGGGAATCTGGCCCTTGGCGGTGGAGGCGGCGACGGGCTGGTATCCGGAGTAGACGCCCTTGGCAGAGGTGTTGACGTTCTGGATGGGGATGCACGGGTTGTCGAAGGTGGACTGGACGACAGAGTGGTTGCCACCGCGGAACTGGAACTGGACCATGGAGCCGACGGGGGCGTTGATCTTGTCGGGGAAGAACTTGAGGGTGTTGTTGGTCGAGGCGACGGAGACGACCTGGACGTCGACGGCTGATTTTCGTGTTAGTCTGACGACCCTTTTCCTGTTCCAGCATCTACCGAAAACCTACCCTGAGCAACAGCGGCCAGGGCCGAGACAACGATAGCTGACATATGCATCTTGGATCGAGTTCGTTTGAAGAAACCGGTAAAAAAGATGAAGTCGAAGGGTATTCGTCGAGAGAGTGACTGCTAGAATCGAATAGTTTGTTGTGAAAAAGCGACTTGCGCTGTTGGTAGGACTAGCCTCGGTGGAAGAAGACGGTTGGAATTAAACGCGGTTGAAGAAAAAATAAAAAAGGAAAATAAAATCCGAATGAAAGAAACTCTTTTTGTTGACTTCTCCAGGAACGGGAAACTGGAAGCTGAGGGAGTGAGAGGGAGCGGCATGGTTTTAAAGACGACCCTTCGGGATCGTCCCAAGAGTTGCGTGGTGTCTGCGCTTTTGCGAGAGAGAGAGAGAGAGATGCCAGAAACCTCAGACCCCTGCTCGGGCGGGCGTCGTTGCATCTGAAAAAAAAATCGGCCAGGCGTCGACATCAGAGTCGACAGGGGGGGGTGGGATGTGTGGTGGTTGATGCGTCGAAAGAGGCGACATGGGCTGGGCCATTTGGGTGTGAGATGTTGTATCGGGGCAGGGGTGGCTGCCCGGATGGACGTGGGTGAAGGGGTGAGGAGGCTGACGGTGCGTGGTTGAAACACGTTTTGACCATCGCAGCCGGGGGGGCTCTTGGGTGTAAGAGAGGTGTCTTTGGTGCGCCACCGACGCCTAGCGAAGACAACGGGTTTTGGCCGGGGTTCTGGGCGCGAAAATTTGAGAACTGGAAGCGCTGTGCCATGGAATCAACTTGGGGTGATCCGTTGAATGGATGAGAAACACTGCCAGAAGAATCTCCATGGCCTTGCAGCAGCAGCAGCAGCAGCAGCAGCAGCAGCAGCAACCAGGTTTTCTGCAATGCGTGGTGCCTTGCTTCTGCTTTGTTCTCGCACACATGCTGCCGACGTCGGTGGTTTTCTCATCCACCTGGGTGCCCTGCGTGCTTGACTAACACTTGCCAGTGTACAGAGTAGGCCACCCATGTCTCCATCGCCTGTCAGATGATGAGCGGAGGAGGTCTCCAATGCCCAGGCACTGCCAGACACAACCAAGAGACGCTGCGAGAAAGAGAATGGTAAGGGTTGGGAGCCGTGGTAGCCGAGTAACGGCGCTGCTGCCATCCGTTTCTGGAAAGAAATGAAGGGATCTGGATAAGCCGATCCGAGAAGATGCCGCGCGAGCAATGCCACGAGCAGTTGCACGAATGAGAAGGAAGCTTGGGCTTAATCCTCGAGGGCTAAGACTTGGGACTGCGCGTACGCAACGCACCGCCGCGGCGCCATGTCAACGTCAACCGATGATGACGGGCCGGAGACCAGACTGAAAAGGGAAGACGGCAAGTGTGGCTTTGCGACGTCGATTAAGCATCCGGCGGCGGAATGGAACACCATCGTCACACGCTATTCTCGGTCGTGGTTTAGAGGGTAACGCAGCTGCCAGCCTGCACACCGCGACGTTATACTTTGACTGATATCGGGCTGACAGAGACAAGAAAAGAAGGCGGCGGCCCTTGCCCCCCTCCAACTGCCTAGGTTTCCGTTCATGACACTGATGACGGGACGGTGATGGTGTGGCAGAGGTTGCAACGGCAGTTCGTCCGCCCAGTCGAGACAGAAAAGTCATCTCATGATATCAGTCCGCGGAGGTTCAAGCCACAGGCACACCACACCACACCATACTTGCGCCGAAGCACGAACATACCGTACACAGATACGGTTCTCGACTCGCCGACTGATGCAGAGCACGCAGCAGGTGAAGCAACGGTGCTTTTGCCCCGGGTGACGGTCTCTATGCGAATGGCTCTCAACACTTGATCCAACGGTCAGTTCCCTGAAGCCCCCGGCGGCGACGGCGCAGGACCTGCAACGAAGACAAGACAGAGACAGCACACGGGGCGCTTGTCGGCTGTCTGCCTGTCTGTCTGCCCAGAGAGAAAAGATGGCAGCAGCAAAAGGAGGAAAAGAGACGAGACCGTAGACTGGGATTGGGTGGTAGCGCGTGTCAACCAAGTCGGACGACGTCGAAGCCGAAATAAGGTTTAGGCCCGTAGTGCCCGCCCAGCGACCCAGGGGCTCCTGGCCCGTCTCCACCTTCTCTCCTTTGGGGGCCTCCCATTGGCGAGGCCCGCTGAAAGAGGCTGGCGCTCGGATGTGCTTCACCCTCCGTCAGCCCTCTGACACTTCCGCGACGAGCCCTGTTTCAGCGCGGGGGGCGCCTTCAGTCTGCATCCTTTCCAGTTCCCTTTCCCTTCCTTTCCCCCTCGTCCATCGTCCATCTCTTCTATCTGCTTCTGCTTCGTCAACTTCTCTCCCAGGCATTCGCTTCATCCACTTCTCCATCCCCTAGGATCCCCAACAACATCCAAGCTTCACCCCTGGCACTCGAGCCTTGGTCTGTTCGGTTGGTCAGCGCATCACCAAACGGCTCCCCTGCCACTAGCCTGTCGTCCGTCCTCTGGCCTCATCGTCATTGGACTTCTTCCGTGCCATCTCCGCCTTGGTCCCGGGGGGGCCAAGAGAAAATCCTCCGACGATACATTGACAGACCACTCACGAATCTGCAGTCCACCGCCCCATGTCCTTGACCATCAAGCATTGGTGCCTTTGCTCTTCACCAAGTTCCACCGTTGCGTTACGTCGCGAGGCTTGTCGTCGTTGCTTGTCTGCTTCGTCCTGTCGCTGCGATTCCAACCAACCAACCAGACAAGCCACATCCCCCTTTCTCCTCCGTTCCCCGACTCGCCTGCACATGGAAACGTCGTCATACCCTCGTCTGCCGTCTCTCACCACGTCGCAGAACATCGACTGGGGGCAGCATTGGCGTCTGATGTCTTCGCCTTCCCATATCCACCTCGCCTGGCCAACCACCACTGCTATCCGCGGGGAAAGACCATCGTCCCCTGCTCTCTCGACGGCCATGTTGCCTCGACGAGTAGCACCCGCGAATTCAAAGATTGCATTCATTGGGTCCCCATCAACCTCGACCGCACACAAGATTCGCTTCCCGAGATCTGGCATCAATCAGTATCCACTCCACCATCTGCCTTTCCACCGCCTGCGCACTCCTGTCTCTCCTCGTGACTCCAGCACCCGGTGCCTGACCTTGGCTGCTCGCATCCCGCGGCCCTTGGCTTTCCCCTTCCCCAGAACAAACAGGGGGATCCGCGGATCATCACAGGCGCACACATGCTGTCCACCTTTTTACCCTACTTCCAGTATCTCGCCATTAACCCTTTCGCGTGGATCCCATCCAGCACTCTTCCACGGGACAGACAGCCGCATCCAGCCAAGTGGCCGACCCATGGCCTCCAACTCAATAGCCGCCCTACTGATATTAACCCAGACCCATCTTCAGTCCGCCGTCTAGCCGACCCAGATGTTTCGCCCTCCGTCGCCTGTCTCTTCTCAGACGAGAATCGGGGTAATTCGAATCCGCTCCCAGGGCGAAACGAAACACCTCGCTCCTCCCTTCACTAATCCCCCCGAATCACATCACTCACACTCCAGGATCAACACTACACTACACAACACATACCAAAAATAGTGGGAACTGCACTGTTCCTTCGACAAACCAAAGGAGTAGGAGGTTCAACCCATTTTCGACACGCCTCTTCGCAGAAAGCCTCACGTCTGTGTTTGGACTGATCTTTGCTCTCCCTTTGACGTCGTCCAATCTCTGGATTTCCTCCCAACACTTGCTACACTTCCATTACGCGAAAAAGTCTTTCTCTCACACACCACAGCACAGAGCACTTCACCTCGGTCACCTACCCGTGCCAATCGCCCATCACCACCGCCCTACCAGTCCCCTTGGCATGTAAGGTGTTCCTGGGCAAACGAACCCGAGGCAGGGCTGCCCGTGTCGTTCAAACAGCCCGACTCTGATGTTTTAGCGAGAGGGGACGCCAGAAGCCAAGCTTTTTGCCTCTTGCCTGCCGTCTATTCACAAGCTTTCTTCGCCTTCTCCGAACGCTGCTGATGTCTCCGCGGTTTTACTCTGAGAGAAAAGCATAATTAGACTTGGGATGGGATGACTGAGCAGACTTCTCACAGCCTCACAACCAACTCGACTCAGGTCATTAGTCTAAGCCAAGCCGAGCCAAGTGAGATTTGTTTGACTGCGTTGATTGGCGAGCTCTCTGAATGACTCTCGTTATTGGCTACTACCGCACTTGGCAAGTGCCGGTTGGGATCGTTCGTCTTCGCTATCAAAATTCGTTCTCTCTAACCTATTCAACTTGAACATGGTTCAAGTGCCGAGGCATTATTTTTCCACGCAGCCGTTTGAGACAGTACGCAAGCGCCCGGTCTAGAGCCGCATTACTCCTCGGCGTCTGCTGATGGGGACAGGAAAATCTGACGATCGAGGCATGATGATAAACGCCAGGATAAGCGTGAGGCTGAACCTGAAGTTGAAAGACAATGACGAAGAGGTCGATAATGAACACAAGGACTACGACGACCACGTTCCATCTCTCGTACAACCTCAGCCCAATCCAGCCCTACAAAAATGCCGCTGTCTAGAATATACAACATGGCATCGGCAATTCTTGCCGGAGAGACGCACCACACTGTCCCCTCAAATGCCCCTCCCAGGCCCATTGCCATAAGTATGGCAAATGGCATGTCGCCGTGTTTTTCCAGACATTGATATAACAAAACTAAAACCAGCCGACAGCCCCGTCCGACTTCAGGCGAAACCCGCCGCCACCGCCAAAAATGGGTGCCCGGGGGGTTCATGCCAACCCTGCCATGCTACCGCCCTTCCGCACGTGTCATCGGCTAACATGCACCATTTTCGATCATGAGGCTCTTCACGTCTGGTCCGGGGTTGGACTAATGTAGAGCGCCAAGGGACGAAACACCCATTACTGAACGTCGACGGCGGCGTGTGTCACTTTCGGGATATGTTCTGATGTGAGGCGTGGTATTGATGGAGCCCTTTTCTTTCCTCTTTTTCTGCTCTTGGCCAAACGCATAGAAATATACCGAGAGAGGGGAGAGAGGATGGGGCTGATTGGAGA